CAAACTTCTACTGGTGGACAAGCGATACCCCCGGAGTAGCTTACGATAATGAGTGATCGCTTCAGATTGATCGAAGATGCAGTAATCTCGATGCACTAGACAAGCAGTTCTAGCTGACGTGCAAAATTCATGCATAAAACCGGACTACTGAGAGGAACGCAGTAGGGATGTTTTACACAAATACTGAGACCAATAGGGGAAGGTTATCTGCCTAGAATGCTCCCTTTGGTTTCAGCTGTCCGCCGAAGATATCAAATTTCGGTCTAATGTGCCAACGTTATTCCTCAAGGAAGGAGTATCATACCTTCCCTGGAAACAACCCGAAATGCACTGCGGTTTACACACACCTAACCAGCCTCCGTACCTGGTACAACGCTACAATTCACCACGAAAGACCTCCTGAGGACAAACCACTGCCCAGGACAGTTTATGGGAAGTCAACTCTCAGCAAGATGTCCTGTCTCTGAAGACACCATTTCCATTAACATAGACAGTTCACGGTTCGTTTTCTCGAAAAGAAATTCCCCATCCGTGACACCTATTGTATATGGGAAACTACAGCAAAAAATGTTACGAGGAATAGGCGACATTCCTGAAAGAAATGATTGGGACGCACACCAGCTCACCGATGGCCTCTAAACCGCTAGAGAAATCCAGGATCATTTATCAAGTTGTCAAAACAAGAGAGAAGCCGGCTTGAGTCCGTTTCTCCCAGCACAACTCATTTGACTGTCCAGCTCTGCGAACAAACCAACGACCGTTCGGAACACAACCAATCACGTTGTGGCTGGTTACCACAGAATAATTGTGCACCGCTCATTGGTTATGATGAATAACGACATGTGCTGGTACAGGCAGAATCATCACAGACAACAATAAACCAACAATTGTTGACTTAAATGCCATACAACAATGAGGAAATAATATCCTGTAGGGAATAGAAGGGAGCAGGAAGCGCAAAGCAGCCTAACCTCGTTTCAACAGCACTGAAATAAACATCTGAACATTGTGTTGGAGTAAATGCTTTAGAATCCCAGAATAATTTACAATTCTTAATAAAAAAGACCAGTGCATAATGAGAGACAAACGTTAACTCGGGAGCTCGGTTAGAGAGCGACAACATGCTCGCCACTGGGATGGATTACGTGATACGGCTCGTGCGTCTGCCCCGTTCAGGACGACGGCACTGATTGTAACCGAACTGATATCGCATTGTGATGCCACAGCCTCATCTCCGCGAAGTTTTGTCGGCGAATGGAGTGTAACACCTTTTCTGGTAGAAGATTGGTGTTAGCTATGCAAGCACCTAATAGCCCGTTTTAGCGATTCCGATTCGTTAGCAATTAATGACTTACACATCATTTCATCACATACCCGAGATAGTGAGCTAACTGCTTTCTCGCTGCCAATGTGTGAAACCAGAATGCAATCAAGTAACGATTCGAGTTGGGGTAGATATCAGATACAATAGTTTTTATTGTTGTACAGCCAAATTCAATGTCGGACATTAGTTGTTGGCCTATCCGCTGAGTTTGGAAAAACAGGTTCAGAAGCCCGACGAACACGCCGCAAAACAAGGAAACAAATCGGGCAACCAATATTTCACATGACCATATATTCAGAACACAAATCCTGGAGAAGTTGGTAAAGCTTGTGTTGCAAAATATCAGCACCTTAAACCTAGAATCGGCAGTGCCTAAAGCGGAAGTGGATTCCAGAGTGACAACTACTTTTGGTGTGATTCTTGGATAAATCTGAAAGATACATCTATACCAGGAGACAAACTCAGTCGAAGACTATTGTGTTTTTCGTTTAATTTAGGGGAGCTCTCAATTTTTTCAACGACCAATGTTCAAAGGTGTACGTCATCCCTGAAGACAATCGACTCCACAAGCGAGGCCAGAACGCCAGTTTCGCCGTTTTTGGTGGGATTAATGAATATCCCAAATTGTCTGTTCGGCAATTTAGTGATCTCTAGTGTACTGTTAGACTGACTAATGATCTGAGAGAGCAAAAACAGTCACTAAATGAGATATGAACTAGGCAGATCCGTAAGCGACGGAAGCCTGACAGAATGTGCAATGGATATAAAGAACGATAAAAGACTCAAGATCACAGCACCACTACGTTCGGATGAATGCTACTGGGTGATATCATGGGAAATCATCTAAAGTAAATTAAAAGACGTCTAATTGGGTCAAGTATACGTGGAATTGAACGGCTAAATCAGAGGAATAAGGCCTGGATCAATAGTCTTCCGATGTTTCCCTTAGAAAGAGGCTAAAGCAAACCATGAGGCAACAGCTAGCCAGATATTATAGACGAATATCAGAGAAAACAAACTGCAAAATAGCTCGTAAGCACCCCAGAAGTCCAACAACGAAGGTTGGCAATGACTCGACTACAGAGCGCCGTCAACCATTCATGAACGAGAACAATAGACTCGAAAGAACCGGAGTTATACACGAAAAAAAAACATTTAAGTTATCCGTCCAGGATATCAGTCTGTGAAGGAAGTGCGCGCAGCAAACGGATGGATACTGAGTGTACTGCCATCCTAACTCCAAACCGTGCATAACCGGTCCCACTTAAAAGCCAGAAGGCGAGCGTAAAAAGGATTCATCCAGTTGACTGGCTTTTAACTATGCAATCAAACGTATTAGCAAGCAAGGTAAGGTAACACAGACGCAGTTGATAAGATTAGTAAAAGTAAAAAATCTACGGGTCATGGCAACCTTTTATCGCGCTGGCTTAATGGGCGTCCCGGGACCACGTGCTTCAATAATAAGCTATCACGTGGTGCCGATCACGCGCTTCCTGTACGGTTTCTACGTGACGGATTGGCTGACATCTCTGACACTACCGCTTCATCTTGCATAGTCGTGCGCCGATCGATATATCCGTTTACCCACATTTAGTTGTTTTTATTTCCAGTTACATTGGTACCGAAAGGGTTTGAGAAAGAATTCGACCCACCAAATATTTTCCGAGAAATAACCTCCCGGGCCGGTTCTCCATCACGGAAGTTGCTGTGCTTGTGGAGGTAAGCTCAAGGACATACAGTAGTCACATTTACTACGGGGTTGTCCGACAGACTTGGTTGGTTGGCTATAGATTAAACGTTTTTTTGAAACTCCGAAATACTTAGCAAAAAACCGGATAAACTGGAGATACCTTCCGTCCAAAGATATTGTTCTTTAGCGAAAAGTGGTGGGACTGTGAGTTGACTGTTGGACTGGCCAGAAGTGTTCTTCTGGGGAGAGAAGGACAACAGCAGAAAGGCAACAAAAGTCTTAAGGAACCACTATGGGGGACGGTTTCTTCGGATATCTGTTGCAGCTTTGGAAACTAGCACTGCCAGAGAATGATCGACCGTTTGGCGTTTTTCATTGTCAATTCTGGGGGGCTTGGCTGCCGTATAGGAGAAAATGGGGTAACAATAATAGTTCAACTGTAACATTCTTTCGGCCCATAGCTGCTATAGAACCCGAAGGAAGCACGTGAGCTTATCTTATCGAGCCTAGACGCTTATCCGAGCCTAGACAAGAGCGGATCAACTTCGAGGTTGGGTTCGAACAACGAACCCTCTGACCAGTAAATCCACACTTGCAACACTGAGGTATCTTGACCTCATTGGTACATCAATACAGGACAGGAAAGGATTCGACAAATCCCGAAACGAGAGGTCAAGGTATGCAAAACATGGACGGAACTATGGTTGTAGGTGGACTAGGACCACTAATCACCTGCTTGTCGGCAGGGTTCACTAGTGCACACGGACAAACGCCTGTTAGTCCGTTAAGCAGATGTGGGAAATCAAGTGTGAATTTCAAGTCCGTATGTGTGGCTCTTTCGGCAGCCCAGCTGCTGAACTTTGGGGGCGAAAAGATATGAGCAGGTGACCTTGATGCATCTGACGCATGATGATGTATTACCACAGTCTAACAGGATGTCGTTCCTGGAAGGAGGGGGTTGAGTAAAGCTTGTACTGCAAATATGGTGTTGGGAATACGGAAGCGGACACAAAAGTAGCCAGTTCTTTTTCGGATAACGATGCACGTTTATATATGCGGGTTCATGTTACAACGTTACCTATACTTGGATAGCGAATGAAGACTCTGATGAGCCCGCTTGGGAAAAAGATATACACGAGCGAAACCTGGAAATGATGTGAGCAGAGGCTGTTTACCGCACCGAACAACTAAGCTCACTTTGAAGAGGCAACCACGAATTTTAGTTATCAGACAGATTTAACATACAGTTCGCTTTGCTGAAATCAAGAGGCCAACTCAGCCAAAAGCACTATGGTTTTCCAACAGTACTCCTGAAACGTTTGATGGCAGTGTGTAAAGAACTGAAAATTTCAATCGAGATTTCAGCATGCAATCTACACTGCAAAGCTCTTACAGAAAGCCATCTCACTAAGTGAATGAGCCTTCTGTTTGAACAATCCTCGCCATAGGAGCCAGCCATCACGCGTCCACGTTACGTGGGTTGTGTGGCTGAAGGATAGGTGTCGCCATGTCCCGTACACGAGCAAGTTAATTGCACCGCTAACCAGCCACTAATGGCCGAACGATATGGTCCTCAGATGTTAACCGGGAGGTCCATGGTTCTGAATTACCCTGGAAATTCATGAGATGCGCATCGCTAGTGGTGCCAAACAAAGATGAAACAGCCGTAGGGTACTTCTCCTACAGAGTTCATTCTCAGGAGGCACTAAAATAAGCCTATCTCTTTGGCGGTCTTTCTTCGGAAGGATTAGCTAACGATGGAGGCCTTTCAGCTCTAACACCCCTCCGGTGCCTAGTTGCCATTCTACCCGATGGAAGCAAGGGGGCTGGGATACTGCCAGGTTGCCCAAGCCTAGACAGGGGAAGTCGAGAGGGGGAGGTCAGGTTCGAACCACGAACCTTCCGGACAGTAAATTCACGCTCTAACCATGTGAGCCATCTCGCCCACAATTCTAACGATAGTACCTAACTTTCGACGACATCAAAGGAGGATCACACCTGGTTTATTGGTTGGTACCGTGAAAAACGAATATGGCCAACGAGGCTAGGCAGTACAAAAACATGAAAATCCCAAATATAACTGAATAAGATCCTTGAGCAGGACGATAAATAATAGAAAAGCGTGAGAGTTGCAATTAAGTAATGTAATCAGCAAAGTACTGAAGAGGTCTGATAGGAAATTTAGTTTTCTGCTGTACAGAACATCATTTGTTCATATTTTTAAGGAGTTTCTCCAGTTTGATTGCAGCAAACACATCCCCGTCGATATGCAGGTCTCCAGCAATAAAAGCTTTTGAGGGGATGACCTTTCCTTCGAACATTTTGACAAACTGGTCACTACCCAATTCGAAGCGGCAGTCAAACTCGCTCGCATCAGTCTCTGCCCGACCTGCACACCCGGATCCTGCCCGAAGGTCGATAAACCAGTGGCCCGGTTCGGGATCTTTAGAAGATAGAACAAAAATAATGGATGAAGCAAACAATGAACTAGTCTGGATAGACAACNAATGAACTAGTCTGTGATAGACAACTAGGTAGGGAAAGTTGACATGACACTGAACAGACCAATGAAGGCTTTAACTAGATTATCTGTCAAATTTAACTGTATTGGTCGTCATTTTAGGCCGCCAGCAAAAATATCGTTGTTCTTGCATGCAGTACATCATCAATCCACGTGACTTAACAGTAGTAACCACGGGTGGGGCAACGTGAACCTACCCCAGATAGGAAGCAGGAAATGGTCAGAGTTTGCATGTTAGACGGTGGGGATGGGACCGTACTGGGACGAAAGAAAAGTGGCGCATCTTGAGTATAGTGGGAGTTGCAATGTTGAGAATCGATACCGAAAATCTTGGAACTACCGCGAAAACAGGAGGAAAGTGCGTCGACCAATTTGACGAGTAGATTTAACAGGTGAACCTAAAATACAGATTTTTCAATGACTACTCTTGGCAACGCCTTACGCAACAGCAGGGGATTTGGAGACTGAAACACGAGTGTGATTCCAACAGTGGGATTATACCTCATTATTTCACCACTGGACGTGGTGAACTCAGACAAGTGCTTGCTGTATATTCGTATGTGCCCACAAGAGTTTGCATAGTGGCTTCATAAGGGATATAGGTTTAGACGAGATATCTTTGATCTCCAAACACCGCTTACGTTCTTGAAGATACACGGAGTTACAAGCAGCTTTCATGTCGAGGGAAAGGAGAAGTGAAAAACCGGCACTATTCGAGAAATCTCTTCAAGTTAAATGCATGATCGGCGCATTCTCAACAACCCAATAGTTAACATTCCAAAAGATATCAACATCGCGGATATTCCAGTGAAAAATGGAAAATAGCTTCCAGGAAGCAGAGCAAACCGGAGGCGAATAAGGGTGTACATCATGTTCATCTAATCGGGTTTTTGGGTGGGTGGAGGGCGGCTGAGAACTTGGATCGGAATGGTCAAGTTAGATCTGGAGGGGTTTGATCCGAACCTAGTATAAGGTATTTGTTGCTCGAATCGGATCCACATCTGTGCGAACCCGCCCGGTGACCGCAGTTAGGGGGTAGCAACAGTATAGGATATTTGTGAAGCCGACTAATCCCGTTGCCGTGAATTCGGGTTTGGCTACCGATAAGGCCACATATACCTGTTCACTACTGTCTGTCGCCATCATGACTAGGTGTCCCTTGCATGGAGTCGAGCGTGGATGGTTAAGATGGAATTTCAGCCCACTATCCAGTTGGCCACGAACAAAGTGTCCAAAGTAGTCCCACTCTAGATGTCAGCACATTTGGTGCACACTTCCACATGAGGCTGACATTTTGCGGTGTGGTACGCGCCTATTGACTACCTTTTGTAATCCCTTCCACCCGTTCGGTATTTTTGCGTTCACATGTACCTACTTAATTGTTTTTTTTTAGGCTGATGGCCCTCACAAACCTCTCTCGTCGTCTGTTTCTTACGTTTACCGTTTTGTTTGTTTTGTACGTTCAGTTCAATGTGCTCACCTATCGCTTTGACTACCTATTTCTACGGGGAAACTGCCACCACCTCTGCAGTTTTCCAAATTGCTACAATTTGCTACTACTGATCACCATTCTGAATTTAGGTTGTACCTTAAATGACATGTTTTAGGATCAGACATGTATGTTCCTGTGCGGTTTGCCAGAGTCCTACTATCCATTTAAATGCTGAATTGTCCTTTACCCGATGTTCCAAGTACAGATGTCTCGACTGATCTCCCTTACAACTTCAGTTCAGAGTTAGATCAGACAGCAGTAACAACCGGCTACATGGAATCCGCAATACTGCCTCCCAGGTTTCTAGACTAGCATCAAATCCATTTCGGTCTTCGTCTCTATGTTACTGAGTAGTACTAGGTAACGTCGGTGCTCGAGTATGCATCAAGCTTTTGGCATCCCAGTGAAACAAAGGTAGCTCATCCACGTAATTTGAATATACCGTCCATTCATTCGAGACATTTGAATGGCTACAGAGTGTTTGAGTCCAGATTATCATGAACGAATCCTGGGGTTTGTAATCTATCAAAAATAGATGAATTCGGATCAGATGAACTCCAGATGACCGCTCACTATGTTCGCCCAGTGCTTTCCCACATAGTGTGCGTGCACTATAAAAAAACCCACAGGTGACAGGACTGGATTGACTGCAATCTTGTCATAAAATCCATGGACAAATGAGGGTTTTCCGATTCAAATTTACAATATGTCCGGTTAGGATATCACTACTGCGGGGTAGTGACATTTAGCTGACTGAAAAATGAAAACACCGATAGCTTTACAGTCCTTTGAGATTACAACGTGAAAACCTGATCATATCCAGAACAAGCCTCAGTAATCAGAGGAGTTCCGAAGCGGTTTGAATGATGTGGTGAAAGATTCGGGGACTTACCGGTCAGTACGAAGTAGAAGGATGCACCTACATTCTTCACATGTTCTTCGGACAACAAACTTTGAAGTTTGTCGAAAATGGCCTCAACAGAGCCCTTTGGAACGGTCCCAGTGGAAGCATCATCAAAGTGAGTCTTTGGTGAATCCAGGAAAAAGTCGGGGGCCAAAGACGCACCTGTCGCGACCAGAATAGAGTAGATGAATGACAAACATTAATAGATTCGTAGAAAATATCAGCAAATGAAACTCAAAGAGATGAGGCGGTTGCAGCGGGCTCAATAATTTTTCACAAAGTACGCAATCCCGAATGTAAGTGTAATCTGGATATTATGCTGAGATGTGATCGCGTCGCTATTACGAATCAGTAGGCAAAAACTGGAAACTGTACATACCATCGCGAACTACAGGACAATAAGGGGCGATAGTTTACATTAAACAGTCGGAAGATACACAAAGGCCACACAATTCACGATCTACCTGCGATGCGGCCGTGATCTGGTTCTGTGCATGGTTTACTGCTGTCGAGTCAAATGTAAGAGGTATTAAACTGACTGGATTCTTCACACACATCGACATACGCCTGCGTCCGTGGACCGACAGAGACACAAAGAAAGCCATTGCAGTCAACACACTGAATGATCGTCCTCCAATGAGAAATAGCGAATAGCCACAAACTGGAACACCGGAGCGCATCATGCACACAAATGATAAGCGTGTTTCCAAGATTCGATGTTGGAATCCTACTTTGCGGACAAGTAAGAAAAAGTAACAAAACTGGATGTGATGCAGCAGGCGAGATTGCGATACACCGACTGGTGATCTATACGACCGAATGCAGCATTTCATACGTAGCAAAGTTGAGGAATCGGTTTGTAACACGGAGCTGCTTAGACGATATTTCAAAGGTCACTAAATTGGATCACAAATATCTGCTCCAGCCAGTGGGAACCACTGGAGTACTTTGCCAGATATCCCCTCTAAGGGCTTTAGGGCTTGCTTGAACGTATCTACGTACCAACGCTCTCCGTGGAGTGTTTGGATGATCAAATCCCAATAAATACTTCTGCTGATTGAGTACAACTATGGAGGTATGACGGTAATCCTCATGACGAATCAAAACGCTGACACCACCAGTAATCCCCGGAATGGCTCTCAGTTTTCTTTGGTTTGGGAAAGTTGAAGCATCTGAGCATCCCAGGTAACCTTTACCGAACGGCAGTTACCGGAACCTTGCCAAAGCTTCCATGTAAATGCTCAGCGCGAGATTCAACAGACCTACTGGATTTACTCGAATGAGGGCACTAACATTCAAGAAACTCAAAGCTGATAGTCAGGCAGGGTACACTGAAATGAATTGACGCCTTATCATCGAGTTCGGGTGACCGAATTTTGCTGCTACCAGTCTCAGGTGTTTCTCAGCGTTGATCTGAGTGTATGGTTTTGTTCTGACAATCGCAACTGTCAAAAATACGATCCCTCAGGAATACATAAGTTCTATTTGAAGAAAATCGAAAGGACGAGAGGCCCAGTGTGGCCGTGAATGATAACTGAGACGAGAAATTTCAGAAGGAAATAGCGTATCAGGTGATTCGTCTACTGATCTAGGGTCAACAGTTCACCCATTGACCCATCATTCCAGGGGAAATTATACCAAGGAATCCAATTAAGGGTTCGCTACTCAATAGAATTTTTCAGACCGACAGCCTCCATTATTGGTACTTTTCCAAAGTAAGCGGTAAAGTCAGGACCGTATTAGGTATCTGACGAAGAGATAATCCAAGGATGAAACCCATAGATTATGAGGATGAACAAGATGACCAACTTCGCCTGGGACCAGAAGTTACTGTACTTGGTCTGGTAGCAAAAATATGCCTGATTAGGGCATCCACAAGTGCCACTTTGGTGCTGTATGTTGGGATCGTAACTGTCAAAACGGGCACACTAAAATCAAACAAATTCTGTCGTTGTTGGGCGTTAAGAACAAAGGCAATAGAATTGCCGCAGGATTTAGAAATGAAGGTTAATGGAAGGATAGCAGGCAGAAATCGACAGTTTCGAAGTGAGAGAGATCCAAAGGGCGCCTACTGAGAATAATACATACAATTATTCGGTCGGGATTTCAACATTATGAGGACAACCAAAGCAACTCAAAATACTGGCACATTTCCACTCATTTTACTGCGTCAAAACATTCTAGAGGTTTGAAACACCACAGTGAAGAGTATGGGTACGTATAATGACCGAAGAAAACAACACCGGATATACATTCCTAAGATAGAAATGAGTGGCATAAAACCGTTCCATGCGTATTAGTCTTTAAAAAACACCGGATAAGTTTCGGTAGCATCCTCTCACGCGAGCGCAGCCCCAGCCGGTCCCTATTACCAGCTCCTAAGTTCTTCAGTGGCATCTGTCTAATCAATTAATAAGACAAACGAAAAAGAGGGAATGGGTATGCTTTTCATACACATACACAAACAAACAAATGTTTCGACGATGCACATGCGATCCTGCACTGTCAGGGCTCTGACTGTTGTCAGTCACGTGGAGCCACGTGGGGCTGCAGAACGACAAAGAATAATTGACAAATGCCGTAATTCCATCAATAACCCACTTGCAACTCATTTTGGTGAGTGAATACCATGCAGCCCACATAAAACTAGTAAGGAATACAACCGAAGGACACGGAAGGACCCAATTGCCCAGAAGCTAGCACCTGACTTCACGGAAAGGGCGATCCTACTGCTGAGTAGGCATTGAGTGGCCAGATCTTCTGGTCAAAAGTTCGTGTATATTCACCAACTCAACATAAACTCACATCCTTGCGATCACTCCTTCAAATTCTACTTAAAGTACTCTAATTTTAAAGAAACTGGATAGTTTTGATGTGTATATCGTGGTTCACAGTGAAGATAAAACGAAAATGGGGTCGGTTAATTCAGGAACTCACCAGGTTTAATGGCGTACATGTCGAAATCCGTTACTCCCTCTTCCCGTAAAACCTCTTCGTCAATGAAAAAATTTCCCGTGTTTTTGGGATCTTTGGCTGGCCTCGTCAAAATAGCATAGGCTGCATCCGAAACAATTTCGGGGACTCTGCATTGTGAAGAGAAGTCCTCCCCACCAGCAAGCATCTTGGTCGCCGCCGTGTAGATTGCAGTGCGGGGCCACAGGGCATTCACCGCTATTCCAAAACCACGGAACTCTCTTGCCATACCCAGAACGCACATGGACATGCCGTATTTGGAAATCGTATAGGCTACGTGATTACCAAACCACATCGGATTCAAGTTCAAAGGCGGACTGAGGGTCAGAATGTGTGGGTTCACAGCCTTTTTAAGGGATGAAAGACACAGCTTGGAGCTGAAAAAGATGAGGGGTTTAAGACAAAATAACACAACAGAGGGTAGAAATTGGACGCCAAGCGCTGGGAAGCAATAACAAAATTGCAAACACATACATCTTGGAGTCGATAAGACGCGTTAACAAATCAAGGGAAATGTTCGCGAAAGCCGGATGCCTTGCAACTCGGAATTATAAGGAAATGGTGCGGTACGGGTTAATTGGGAGTAACTTGAATGTAGACCCGTTAGCTTGTGATGCCCACAGGCCCATCTAGATTACTCCAAACAGCTTGTAATTTGAATTCAATAAACGAACTGCTGAAGGAAAGGATAAACGTTGAGTCAACTTACTGTGCAATTTGAGACTGTTTTTGAGAGACTGAGCCCCACATATAGGTTTGTGTGGCTCCATGACCCAAGAGGAGACATACAATATTCTGCACTAGTTTGTTCAACACAGGTTATGCAATCGAATGCACGCGGCGATACCGACGCCTCGCCGACTGCGACATTCGTTAGACAATCCGAGTTTACACTCAATTCCAACAGTCTAGCGTATTTCAGTGACATGCTTTAGGCTGTGAGACTGGAGTGAAAAGCATTTTGATGTACCTTCCGAAATATTTTAAACTTTCTACAAATTTTTGATGGGGTAGGTCTTAGATTCCGGGGACGCAAGTGTACACAAATGCATTGCTATATCGATGAAACTGAATTTAGTGTCATCTGATGCATACTCACAACAGCAGCGAAGATCGTTCATATAGGTGGAAAAAGTGTAACCATGCTCGACGGAGCAGTGAAACTGAACATGCATGTCTAACCCCGGCTAAAGTGTCCGAGTAACGCAGATGCGATTGCCACTCTATTCGTGCCATTCTGGTTGGCGACTGGAAAGTTTTGACGGTTAAGTCTATCGATCGAGATAACCAGAACAGTAATCGAACAATCCAGTCACATCTCTCAAGCGTGAACATGTTCACTCGCTCTGAAGTAAAATTCAGATACGTCCAACGTGTGCTGGTGGAGTAGTGGTAAGACGCTCTCCTCGCACGTCATATGTGCCGAGTTCCAACGCCAAGGATATGCACTGTTGATTAGTTCTTATAAGAGGGAAACTGGATTCCAGTGCTTCCTTTCCTTCCTTCGGTGTGGACTCACCATAATAGTTGCGCCAGGACAAAGGATTATTTAGAAGGAAGTGATGCGAATGTGAATTATAGAATAGTGGCTGGGGCAATTGTAGAGGCTGTTTGTTTGGTGGTGGTGGAGTAGTGGTAACACGCTCTTCTCGCACGTCATATGTGCCGAGTTCCAACGCCAAGGATATGCACTGTTGATTAGTTCTTATAAGAGCGAAACTCGATTCCAGTGCTTCCTTTCCTTCCTTCGGTGTGGACTCACCATAATAGTTGCGCCAGGACAAAGGATTATTTAGAAGGAAGTGATGCGAATGTGAATTATAGAATAGTGGCTGGGGCAATTGTAGAGGCTGTTTGTTTGGGCCTATACGCCATAGACTAATAATACTATATAAACAGAGAAGTAAAAAAAGAACGAATTTTGTATAAAATGTGAGGAGACTGATGCCTGTAAGTAAGGTGACCAAACATGAGCGAAAGAAATCCGTACATGAATCTTCATGATTATTGACTCTCCAAAAGTCAGCGTACGGATGTACTATTTATTGTGTTATGATTGTCCGTTGATTTTGACGTTATTACTCGGAATTAGATTACTAAAAATCACCAAAAATATAAGACGCGATACAGAAGACAGTGGCTTCCTGAACGCTCCTATTAGCCACGATATTCGTCATATGAAGAACGAATAAGCGAATGTACAAATCACTACTTGTGGTTCAAAACTCAAATATGAATTGAAAGTGACACAATGTATGACCGGTTCACATGAACCACGATGGAAGCAAAGTCCTGACCTAAACCGTGTACCCAACAAAGCTTCAAGTTAGCTTGCCTTGCCTGCTGCGACGACTTTAAAAGCTGCAGAAGTGTCAATCTGATGCCGAAATATAATCAGATATTTTGCGATAGAAGCGGAATTTGGACCGAGCGAAGAATTGCGGTTATTGGGTTGATTCGAACAGTTCAGGGCGTGTTTATTTACCCAGGCCTCACACCTCCTTCCAGTTCTCCCTATGCAGACCACCGCAACCGCAAATGAAGGAGTAAAACCGGTTTGACTTGCGGAAGCTTTTTGATTGACGGTAATGGGATACTCCTGGTTTTCGGTAGCTGCATTATACGTTTTATTGGGTAATGAGTTTATGGTCTTCGTCATGTCTCTGGTAACAACTTCCCATCTGTATGGTAGCAAAGGAAAGAACCACTTCTACCCTGTAGCTAATCTCACGTCATTTCGAGTGCAATGTAAACTTTTCCTCAGGGTGTGCAGTTACGTGCAGTTACGCGTGCCGGGTATACAGATTCATCTTGCTCTATAAAATAAAGAACAAACTAGTGCACTGACTCGGACAAACCTGGTGAAAGTTCTAGGATTGCCTTGTCCAGTTAGATTCCTGACAACCCGAACGACTCATCGTTCCACGTAGTTGCCTGGTTGCCAAGGCGTCTAGAAAGGTATCAGAGTTATCGTCCTCAAATTCCTAAACAAAGTTGAATGGACTGAGGACGGAAAGCGCTGGTGAGCAACGATGCGCATGTTCTTTGAGTAGCGTTCATACGACTTGACTTGAATCATATGCCGCGATGCTTTTTTCTCAATCGTCACCATCAGCAGGTCAGCTAGAGATTGGCGCGATGGATTGTCGATTGCCACACTATCAGTTTGCCGAGTTTTAGTGAGTCTAAGAAGTTGAATTTTACACCCCAGGTAGAAAGTAACTGACTCTGAAATTGGAATGATGCCAAGCTAAGCCATAATGTGATCACAAATAAAATCAACTATTTTCTCCAAAAGGATATTCATTATTAGTGTTTGAACGTATTTCTCAAAATATGGGTTAACAGTTCTGCTCTTAAGGTCTTTTTCATCTCCAAAAACCAGCGGGCTAATTTCTGACAAGTTTGGACATAATGGTCCTCCGTGTTTCTGAATGTTTGGGGCAGCAAACTGTTTAGATGTGTGAACCTTGCAGCTTCAGAAGGCGGTAACTCTGACATTAAGGCGGAAAAATTTAATATTTGCGACTCACGCACAAGTTGTTCTCTTACGAACAAAAATTTATCCGGTTGAGTAACTATACAATGACCAGGTTTGAAATATGGAGGAAATACGAGATGTAGACGGTGAAACAGTGTTACCCGCTGCCACGAGCCTAATCAGAGGAATGGAAGACGGGTGCTACGATAACAGATTAGACGTTCTGAACCTGGTTCTAGTATTAAAAAAGATGCAACATAGGGCAAAACATTTTCTGATAGACTTTCAGTGGCGGCGGAAAATGTGAACTCCAATCCCTCCTCCCCTAGAACGAGCGAGAGGAGAGGTAATCTATTACAGGTGAGTAAGAGGGGAGTGTGGGAGAAAGGTAGCGGTCTCCTAGCTCGGCGGCCAGTAGACCTCCGCACTCCCAGAAAAGATGTGGTGCCATGAATGACAGTAAGCAGAAGGCGCTGCGGCAGCAAGCATGGAAAGGACCCAAAAAAAGGTTCCTCGGCTTTTAGTAATGGATGCTGAATTTTATACCGCTCAGTGGCAACATTGATATTCGTACTAAATTAAAACCTACCACATGAATGTACCTCGAGTATTCACAGTATTCAGTAAATCATATGACTTCATGGATGTGGAAGCGGTGTTCGTGAGCTGGATAGCCGAAGCATTATTCACAAGAATATCCAATCCACCGAATACTTTGATGGCGTTATCAACCGCTGCTTGTACTTGATCCTCAAAGCGGATGTCCACAGCACATGGTAAGGCTTTCCCACCAAGTTTTTCAACTGAAAGTGATTACAGTCGAAAGGTGTTCGTACTTTCTTCGGCGACAGAGAAAATGGTCCCAGGCAACTTGGGATGCGGATCCTTAGTCTTGGCAGCAAGCACGATTTTTGCTCCATCTTTCGCTGCTCTTAGAGCAATACTCCTCCCGATTCCACGACTGGCCCCGGTGATAAAGAGAACCTTACCGCTCAATCCGCTGGTTGAATAATTTAAGCACTTATCGGATGACCTACCTTTTGGACATTGTTCTGCAATATGATAATCAGAAAATCATTGGAATGTGGAATCATAAATCTTGTTGAAAGCAACACGTGATACGCTAAAAATAAACATCAGTAACAGCTATAAAACATGGTGAAATCATTCGTAGTTCCTATGCCCTTCATTAGTTCATTTCACGTAATAAGCAAGACAACTGGTTGTCTGTAGTTTACGTCCTACAGTTGAGCACAGCGTCGACCGCACGCTTGTACTTGGGGTCTGCGTGAACCACACGAGACCAGTGCCCAATGTTTGAGGGAGGGAGCCATATGTCACTCGTGCGTCACCTGGATGCCATGAATTACACGGGTTTGCACAGAGCTCAGGCATAATAAAACGGACAGCCATCGACTGACTGGCTTCACTAAAGACAGGCTTCACCCCCATATGTAAATTGGCAAGAGGTCCGCAGAAGGAAGTGATACACGAAGACATTTGACTCGGGAGTAACGTGGGCCTTCTTGTAATATTCTTTCCAATGCCGGTCGGCCTCCTTAAGCCTTGGTAAGGTAGGAGGTATATCAACCAATCTATCAATCAATTTGTCAGCTTAGAACCATGCACCATAGGCGCATTCGTTTCAGCTGTTGCAGTTTCGATCACCGGAAAGCGGAGAGTGCGGAACATGCAGTCAAGCTTTCGAGGCATGTCAGGCTATTTCGGGGATCGGGTAATTACGTATTAAAGGCGATAGCTCGATGCTCGAGCGCAACTGACGGCGCGATTGAAACATTTCTGGCAGTGTCATTAACAATAATAATAATCGTTCAGCTGTAACACCCTTCCGGTGCCTAGCTGCCATGCCACCCGGAGGAAGCACGAGGGCTGGGATACTGCCAGGTCGCCCAGGCCTAGACAGGGGAAGTCGAGTGGCAGAGGTCGGGTTCGAACCACTAGTCATTAACCATTAGTGAGATGAGTTCCGGGATCCCCATCCAGGGAGGCGGCAGTTACCGACCCGACTAGCTTTACCGGTTAGTGTTTTCGTCAGGTCATACACTCCTGTCCGTCGCTTCTAGTCAGGAATGGGGTTGGACAAAAGAAGCTCTGAGGTAGATGGCCTTCTGGCAGGCGGAATACATGTCCTAACCAGCGCAACCTATGAAGCAGGAGAGTTCCTTCTTCCTAAGACCACCTGGCGTACCTTGGCATTACTAATCCAATGTTCCAACCAGACCCTACCAATGCTTCGGAGACACCGACAGTTAAACACCTTCCGTATGTTCTCTGCATGTAGAGACCACGTCTCTGATCCATAAAACAGAGTGGATCGCACTGTCGCATTATGGACTCTGCCCCCAACGGATAAACTCACGTCACGTCGACGCCATAGATGTCATATTGGCAAAAGCTGACCTGGATTTTCCGATTCGAGAAATAACCTCATCCCCAGTTGGTCTACCGGAACTTATACGGCTGCCCAGGTAAACAAAGTTATCTACCAAGTCGATTAGCTGGTCTGCGAGCAAGAGGTTTGGGTTTGATCCCACCCTGTCTTGGAGAAGCAGTTTACGCTGCCGCACATGCCAAACTGTGCGACAGTTAATTAGTTTACTTAAAATCGTCTGTATTCCGGATGGATTTGAACCAAGGAGAGCAATATCGTCTGTAACTCAATGTCTGTGAGTGAACGTCCCGGGGGTATTCCAACTCCCGAGTATTCAGAGGCAGGCAGAGAAATTTCAAGCAGCATACCAATGACAAAGCTGAAGGTGAGAGAAGGTAACCTTGTCTTACACCACTGGACATGGTGAACCCAAGCGAAAGCTCACCGTATACTCGTGCGCGTCCACAGGAGTTCGCATACAGCGCCCTCATAAGGGATATAAATTTGGAAAGGACACCTTTGAGCGCCAGACACTACCAAAGTTTCTGGCCATCAACAGAATCAAAAGCGCCGTTCTAATAAAAAAAGCGTCCAGTGTGGAACGTCTGAACAAGTGTTGCTGTTCAACAAATCGTCCCAATGTAGAAATATTGTCGATGTACCCTCGGCCCTCACGAAACTCTCCCGATAATCGGTTAACCTATACAAATAATGCCAGGCAGCACTTAGATGCGACGGATATCAGGATGGTGCCACGATGGTTTTTGCATGGCTTCTTGCGCCCTTTTTGAAGACTGGGCTGACGGTCGAGGAGCTCCATTCACCCGGCATTCTGTTTTGTTCCAAATCTTTTGCAGCATGGTTGTCAGATTGTTCACCAAAACCTCACCACCTTTGAAGAGTTCGGGGTGCAGACCATCCGGGCGGGTGCCTTGTCGCACTGTAGGATTGATATATAAAGCGGGATCTCGGTTGCTGGTGGTGGGTTGGTGCAGATGTTCTATTCAGGTTCACTGGGTTCTTCCAGTGGTTGTGTTGAAGGAGACCAACTGAACCGTTCTTTGAAGTGCTAAGACCACCGTTCGAAACGACGATTGAGAGGGTAAATTGCTGTTCCGTCTTTTCCGCACATTGTTTCCAGGACATCTACGTTGTTTTGACCGTTTGATCGAATCAGTTGAAACAGGGAGCGGCTGTTGACCATAGGGAAAGCCACCTCCATCATCTAGGCCTTCGAAATCCACAAGCGTTCTATATCATTTCTCAAGTTCCTGACTATCCGGTGTTTGAGGGATCTGCGTGAGTCATCATAGTCGCTAATTGACGGAATGGCCTTTCTGATAGCAATAAGATCTGCTGATCTCAAAGAAATCCAGTTTTCATTCAGTCGGATCAGATGGCCTGAAGAAACAATTCTGAAAGCGGAGAGCATTGCTTCTTTAACTCCCCACCATTCAACCTCCAAGCATTTTTGCCCTCCCCATGACTGTGCGTTTCTAGTAGCTTTCTAGCCAGATCAGCTTGATACACTTCAGCTACTAAAGCCTGTCGAAGTTGATGAGCGGAGCTGCTCTGCTTTGGCACGTGTAATACTGACGGAAAGCGAAGCGCCAGGTCCGCACAATGGCATGATCAGAATCAAGCTGCCTACACCAGGGGGAGCGAAAATCATTAACTGACGCTCTCCATCGGTAACTGATATCCACATGGTTCAACTGAGTCCATGACTGTCTTGTGGTAGGTGGCCTCCAAGTAACTAGATGTGCGCGTTTGCCAGGAACATACGATGATCTACACACAACTGAAGAAGCCACTACCCATTGTCAGTACGCTCAGCACCAACTCCAAATCTACTACCTAACCGTGCTTCTTTCGGACTTAGTCGTCCAGGTTGGGCATTTATGTTACCTACCAGGATTACTATATCCGTCCTTCTTGACGACCGAAGCAGTCGTGACCCACAAGGCAGTGAGAGGATGTGGGGTTTTATTCGGGGAGAATGAACCTATCCTCTGACTCACGAGTCTGGACCGCGAGACAGCGGTTGTTAGGGTATTCTTGGGGGAACCTTCGCGAAGCCAATGAGTTAGTGGTCTGACTCACTTGACTGCAGGGGACGGCCTGGCCCGAGGACACAGGGAGTAAGGTATTACTGTTTCACTCCTAGTACAGATGCGCTGGGGTAAATTGTGAGGTTTCGTCGTTCCCCGTATTACTTCCAAAGTAACTCCACAAGACTTGCTAGTCACGTAGTCTGTGTTGAAGAAATTTTACTTGCCCTTGTAGTGGACGTTTTCACCGAAGCGAGGGAAGAAAGCTGGTGGCTTGACTGGACTGACAAACCATCAGTTGGTTCATTTTGTTGCGGGATTTATATAATACGTATCAACCTTGTGCCTCGTACCTCGGGTGCTTCAGATTCAAATCCCGACAAAGCCAAGGGTGTGCACTGCAGAAGGACCGTGATAGAAGTAAAACTGGAGTCCAGCGCCTCCCCGCCCTGGTGTGAGCTAATCAAAAAAATCGTGCTGGTGTAGGAGGGGAACTACCCAAACAAGTGACATGGACAGCGAAAGTGTTGGTGTCACGAAGGTTTGGATAAACCCCAATTTCAAACCAACTGTAAACCAAAGACGGCAAACTTGACCAGTGACTTCGAAAGAACGTTGGGTAAGATGCTACTAACCGGCCGACGTGTGGGCCGACGAGTGTACCGGAAAGCCTTGGTGGTTTTCATAGACTGGATTTGAGACGCAGAGACAACAGAGAGCGCCTTTTGCGGACGGATGCTTGACCACAGACCACTTCTTTACAGTACCGATTTTGAGAAGTGCAAATATTCCGAGTACTTGGTGTCCACCAGTAAGTTAGCCCAGGGCAAAAACAGACCACGCAATCGGTTACCGATTGCAAAAGTGTGATCACTGCTTACTGCCCGTCCTGGAGTGCGTGCAGACTTCCATCATGTGTTTGCACGTCGCCGCATTTAATTTTTCTTCAGGTTTATGCAGTACAAGCATGTTTCATCTTTCACTGAAAAGCATAAGGACCTTAAAATCAAGAAAATGTACCACATAGCCTGCTCCAAAGTCCGTGGCTAATCGGATTTCAAATTGAATCAGAGGCTAAGGACAGGGTCCCCGAACAAAATCCTACATTCTCTCACTGCATTGTTGGTCACGCTTGGGAGTCGGGGAATAGAGATCTGATCCACGCTGAAATCCTCATTGTATGTACTCTATGTCAAACTGGGCAATAGGCATCTCTAGCTTGGACTTTGCTTTCACCTCTGTCGATGAATGTTGCATTTGCGAGACATGCATACACACATACATACCTCGGTCGTGCACTCAAAGCTACTTGGGACGAGCTCAGATGTTCCACATTTCACTCTTCGCGTGTCTGGTAACCCCCACACACAGGCTGGTGGTATCCGCGACCCAAGACTCAAAGCAGCTTACTGGAGTGGACTCCAGTTGACGGTCGTCTTTGCGCTGTGCAGAAGACGATCTCAAGTAACATCCATGCGTGTCGATGCGGCAGACGGTGTCTATTTTCGCCGTGATGCCATTTTTGAATGTCCCCGCCATACAGATCTTAGCCAATCAGAGTGGGAATGACGCCGCAAGGCGCGTGATCACGATCCCACTCTGATTGGCTAAAATCTGTATGGCGGGAACATTCAAAAATGGCATCACGGCGAATTCGCGGTGATTGATTGACCCTCTTGAACG